ACATGCAAGTCATCAACTAACAACGACACTGTCTGTGCATAATTATTTGGGGCATTTGCAAGTTCTAATTACTTGAGCTGGTCATAAATGAGTTGCATAATAAGAATGGCATTGTCATGAAATACCACAACGGTGTACCCCCACTGCAAAATAAACTCCGAAATTGATATGGCAATATTTCATCTTGCGTTCCTTTTCTTACCCTTTTGCTATCTGTACTGTGACAAAAAACATTAGTATAGCTTACACTTCAGTCGTTGATTCAAAATACTTCTTGACTGCATGATCTTTCTGAATTAAAAGCCTAACTTTCGGCTATGATTTCATCTATGTTTCCATATAATTTCACTGTTTGTACACTGATACCTATTTATTTATAACGAAGCAGTTTGTTGACCTTTGTGGAGCTGTACATGATGTAAGAAAGGCTTGGAACCATCATGTTCAATTTTTCCCAAGTTTATGAGGATAAGAGCCCTGTGCAAGAAGCCCATATCAGGCAAACGTTTATTAAATGAAGCTGCAGAGCAAAGTCAGAGCTTTAGTTTAACTGGTCTTGGGTTGATCGGGCACCCAAAACCCTGAGTTCTACTCATCTAATTAAACTTGCGGAGCAAGAACAGGCACCCGTACTTGCAGTTAATAACGATATCCAGCCCAATCACATTTTGGAAAATAATACAAAGGAAAAACTGGAGAGACCATGCCCCGAAGTTGCAGTTGTATGTAAGGAATATGCATCTCGTGACAATGACTTAGCTTATAATTCGATACATCATTCTGGAGATCATGTTTCAGGATCAGTTGAATCAACTCTTGATTTGACATGTCGGTCTAGAGAAGACAAACGGGAATTAATGGTCACTACCGAATTGATCCGACCACGTGAATTAACTCACGAGGTTAGAAAGTCATTGGTACCAACTGGTTCTATAGAAGCCTCCGATACTCTGGTTCAATTAATTTTCATTCGGCGCCGGACCGTGAGCTCCAAAAGCATAAGCAGCCAGTTTCTTTGGATAACGTTTCTTCAAATTCTCAGGCAAAGGAATTTCAGGAGTTGACGCCCATGTCTTGTAAAGAGTATGAGGCTGAAAAAGGCACGTCTGCCTCTAGTAGGAGCCCTCCACCGAATTTCTCTAATGTTAAGTATAAATCTTTTGCCAGCCCAAAGAGCATTCAAACTGTTGGTTCACAACTTCTGAATGAATCTGATAGATCAGAAAATCATCAAAATCATACGCTAGCACAAGTACACCCAAATCCAGAAGTGTCTTCTAGAACTGATGAAGATTCTCATCCAATAAACACACAGTGACAGCTGCAAGACAATCACCGTTATCATCCCCCACCTGTTTCTTATCCTCGACAATACAAATTAATTTGCGAAGGAATCGGCAGACTGGGCAAACACCATGCTTGTGAAAGACAGATATTATCCATTATAGAGGATGCACGTTTACGAAGTTTAGAAGACGGGTAAGTCTATTTTCAGGGTAGATCTTCTATGAGCTTGAGATGTAACATTTTAAAGCTATATTTCTGGACTGTTTTATACATTCTTTCATAAATAGAGAATGGAATATGTCATGCCATGTACTACTTTTATATCATCTTTGATAGACTATTATACTCTGACATTAGTATGTTTTAAATTCTGAGGTGTATGCAATCAGGCAATGATATATAAATAAGGATTAGAGAACTGGACATGAACTTAAAATCTTTTCAGTTGCATTGAACATCTGCATTTTAATAACCTACAGGTAGCACAGCTTCAAATGATTTTGGTAGAAAAGGCAGCAATTAATTAGAGCATTTCTATATATCCCTCTCCCAACTGTTAGATGTATTTGTGACATCAGGAAGTG